ATCCTCATCTGAAACTCGACGCTCTTGGGGTTGTTCTTGAGGATGAGCCTGGAGTGTTCCATGAAGGTTGCGAAGGGGACGCGGCACGTGACGGGTGGCTTGAAGCAGGCGTAGTCGACGAGGTAGATGGTGCGGGGCTTTGACATGAAGTAGACGGTGGCTATGAAGATTATGAGGAAGGCTGAGCATAGGATTTGGAGGAGGTCAAAGTGGAGAGAGTTCCAGAGGTTGAGGATCTCGTCAGGGCCCAAGCGAAGAACCTCTATGAAGACACCTATCATGATGGGTATGAGAGTGAGGGTGAGAATGTGGTTCACTAGGTATTGGTAGCCAAGTTTGACATACTTGAGCTTGACGGAGTTGGAGAAATCCGGCAACATTGGAGGCATGTGTTTATGGATAGAGAAAGAGAAAGAGAAAGAGAAAGAAGAATTGGTGAGTGAGTGACAATAAGTGAGGGTAGGGGATGGTGAGATTATAAAGGCGAAGGGACCTAGAGTGTGAAGGGGGCAGATGAGAGGATTTAATGAAAGACTTCACGTCACTCAACGCTCACTTAACTTGCTATTAATTTCCATAACTCCACCCTTGGACATCTAACTAAACTATAACACCCTTACACCTGTAAATCCTTTTTCTCATTTGCTCATTCTCTTTACCCATTACTTTTTCCATCATTAAAATAGGGTTAGGGAGACACCCTGGTTTACATAACTCGTATTAAAACTGCACCTCCTCACTCCTCATGAGGGGAACAAAACTAACGAATAACCATGTGTACGTCCCAACGCCGAAAGTTTAATTAAACATCACTTTGGTTACATTTTAATAGGTTCACATGTAGTTACCACCAACCTTCAAATTACACTTTCCTTTTCACGGAAGCAAATATACACTTTTTTTTTTTTGGATAATGCTGTTTCAAAAATTTATATTCGTAAGAGATCGATGTCACATCCATCATAGATATATATAGAAATATATGTGAGGATAATCACCAACTTATATATTAATTTTCTAAAATTTAAGTAGATCTAAATTCATTCTTTTTAAGGTGATAATATTAAAATTTATCTTAATAATTGGTGTTGGGTTTATTATGTTACTTGTTATTGCATATCACATTCAAAATATTTTAATCCTCAAGAACAATTTTAATCTTCCACATATTATAATTATGTAATTTTGATCTTTTAAATTTTAATTGAATAATTTTAATTATTTAAATATCATAATTATACAATTTTAGCCTCTCTAATAAATTTTTTAATAATTTTAAAATTATAATATATATATATATAATATTTTTAAATTATACAATTCTTTACCTATATTATAATTTTTACTCATGTATCAAATGATACATATTTATTATTATGAAATAAATAAAATTTATATATATGATTAGTTTAATTTTAGATAATTTAATAAATATAAATTAGTAAATATCAATATATTTTTTAAAAAATAAAAATATATTAGAAAACATTTAATTAAAAATATTAAGACATTATATCACCCCATTAGCTTCACATCAATAAAACTTGTTAGATTTCCAATAGAAAAAAAATAAACTAAAATCATATAATTACGATATTTAAAAGACTAAAATTATTCAATTAAAAAATGAAAAATCAAAATCACATAATTACAATATTCAAAAAAATTTAAATTATTTGATTAAAATTTGAAAGACTAAAATCACTCCATTATAATATTTAATTGACTAAAAACGCATTTAATCATAGCATGAATGCCTTGAAGTAAAACAACAACATGATAACTAAATATTAAAAGTAATATAATGGATAAAATAAACATCGTAATATAAAAGTGACTAAAATTAATACCAAAAATAAATGAACCTCGTGTTAAGAAGAGAAAAAAGGGAAACATAGATAATAAAACTTTGCGGAAGTTAAAAAGAGGTAAAAAAAATTAATAAACATCTTAAGAATAAAAAGAAAATAAAATATAATAAACTAGAAGCTAGCATAAAAAAAAAACTATTTAAAGTAGTGTCTAAAAAATGCCACAAGTTACTAAAATAAACTCATTAAACAAACTTTCCAACTAGAAATAATAACTAAAAATCATTTGATCGAAAATATTTCTCAAATATACACAAAATAATATTGTTAATTTTTTTTAAATACTCTTTTATTATTGTTAGATATTTTTTTACATGAATCTTATATATATATA